ATTCCGTATCTAAAAATTTATTCCGTATCAAATATAGGGAAATTCTTATACATTCCGTATGTTTATTTTCTATAGGGTTAATCAACTGGGCAATTAAATAATCCTATATTAACAATTCTGAGCCTTGCTTGAGAGTAGAGGCAGAAAGTTAATATACACTCCCTGGACAAAGTATTTTTGGACATCTATTTTTAATCATCATGCAAAAACTCACATAATAACTATACATTAAATTTTGATATTTTTAGAATGTCTAGAAAATTTTAATTAAAAACCCCCAAAACTTGACAAAAACAGTGATCTATTGTAATTACAAATTATTTTTACACATTCATATTCAAATTTTCCTAGACGTTCTAAAAATATCAAAATTTAGACTTTAATCTATATTGTATGCATAATTACTATGTGAGTTTTTGCATGTTTAGTAGAAATAGGTCTCCAAATACTTTAGTGATTATTCAATTTTTCGTGTGACAATTAAAAAATATAATTAATTTTCCATCATTAACATTATTAATAAAAAAATGTCTACCTCTTCAAGCAATGACTCAAATACGCAAAAAAAACCCACTGTAATTTTATGTATTGGTATGGCAGGCTCCGGTAAAACAACCTTTATGCAGGTATTTATTCCTTTTTTTTACTTCTCTCTTTTCGTTCATATATTTTATTCATTCTATTTTTAACACTTGCCTTTTTTTAATTGAATTATTGTTGCATTATTTATTATTAAAGCGATTAAATGCACATCTTCATGGTATTAAAAAACCACCTTACATAATAAATCTTGATCCTGCAGTTACTCAACTCCCATTCACTGCGAATATTGATATTCGAGATACAGTAAATTATAAAGAAGTTATGAAACAGTAAACAATCGATCACTTTACTTCATTTTTAAAATTTTATTTTTATTTTTGATTGATTAAATTATAATAACTTGGGCTTTTTTAAAACAGATATAGTTTAGGACCAAATGGTGGTATAGTAACAAGTTTGAACTTGTTTACCACAAAATTTGATCAAGTTTTAGAATTTGTATCAAACCGTTCTACTTCAATAGAGTAAATAATTAATAATAATAATAATAGAATACCCACCAGATTATATTAAATTATCCCATTAATACTAAAAATAAAATGAAAAATATGTATTCAGACATATAATTATAGATACGCCTGGACAAATTGAAATATTCACATGGTCAGCTTCTGGCACAATTATAACTGAAGCATTAGCTGCATCTTATCCATGTGTGGTAGCTTATGTCATTGATACACCTAGAACAGCAAGCCCATCAACATTTATGAGTAATATGTTATATGCATGCAGGTAACAAATTTAAATAAATATTGGTATTATTATTATTATTGAAAATTCCTAATTTATTGAAATTTGTAATTTGTAGTATTTTATATAAAACAAAACTCCCATTTATACTGGTATTTAATAAAACAGATGTAGTTTCACATCAATTTGCTGTTGATTGGATGACTGATTTTGAATCTTTTCAAGAAGCACTTCAAAAAGATACTAGTTATATGACTTCACTTATGAATTCAATGTGTTTGGTTTTAGAAGAATTTTATAAACATTTACGAGTAATTGATTATTTTCTGTCTGAGAGGGGGGAGAGGTTGGGAAGGATTTTGTGATAATTATAAATCAACAGATTATATATATTAATTAACTTTTATAAATTAGTTAGTTGGTGTATCAGCAATGTCAGGTTTAGGAATGGATGAATTTTTTGAAGCTGTAGGTGAAGCTGTTAAAGAATATGAAAAGTAGGTTTGATGATGAATATAATGAATTTAATATACATATGGATTGATAGAATGATTGGATCTTTTTCTTGCTAATTAATAAATTTTAAAAACTTTTATAGAGACTATAAACCAGAATTGGAAAGATTAATTAAAGAAAAGGTACAAATAACATTAATCAAAGCCAATAACAATATTTGTACCATGTTTAGGCTATTTACTCATCAATTCACATGAATATATATAAGGCAGAACGAAAAGAAGCAGAGAAACAAGCACAGTTATCAAGATTAATGAAAGATATGGACGTAGCAGATAAATCACCTAAAATGATAGGTAGATGATCCATTTTTTTTAGTTTGACTTTTTAGATTACTTATTTTTTTTTTTTTTGAAAAAAATTCTTGGATTTTTTCTTTAATTAGATCCAATGGAAGATAATTTATATGATGATGATGATGACGATGATAAAATATATGATGATGATGATGATTATAACAAACGTGGTTTTGTAAAAGAAGGTAAACCATTTTATTTCTTAAACATTAAAATAACAATAATATTTACATGATTTTTTTTAGATCCTGATTACAAAGCAATGAAATCATATCAAGGTAAACTTGAAGAAGAAACTTTTGCCCATTGGATACAACAAACCCGTCAAGGAGGTAGTGATGGTGGAAGTGGAATAATTTGATTGAAAAAAATTTTTTTTTAATATAAAGGGTGAAGATAGTTGCAATTGGGAAAAATACATTTGTATAAATTTTATTCCAGGTATGTATAAAAAATATATAATAAAATTATATTTTATGATTTATTGATATATTAAATAATAATAAATATTACTTGTTCAAAAAAATAAAAGTATACAGATTTATATTTATTAATATATACAATAATTATAATTTTACAATAAATACCAAAAATACAAAAATACCAATATTTTTTTTAAAATATATGTTTCTTCTCCTTAGTTAAAACCCTTCTTTTTACAAATAATATTTTTCCATGACTGTTTTCATAATTTGATCTTTAGGTGCTTTTCTACCAGTCCATCTTTCAAATTGATATAAACCTTGTTCAATCAAAACTTGTATACCTTCAACGCAATTCCATCCATATTTTTCACCTTTAATTATTAAATTGGTTTTATGTGGTTTATATGCCATCTCAACTATCACACCTTTACCATTATCATCATGGAATTTAAAAATTTCATCTGGATATTCAAAATTTGTTGTACCTGGTATTGTTGAAATAATGATTTTAGGTGATGGAGAAGGAAGTGATGATGCAGTCAATGAATTTAATTGATGAAGTCCAAAATTTGTTGGAAATTGTTTAATTAGTTCTTTGACTTTTTCAGGAGTTCTATTATATAAATAGATTTTAGTTGCACCTAATTTATGTAATGCATAAATAGCTGCTCTTGAAGTCCCTCCAGCACCAACAACTAGTCCTGATATATTTCTGTTGTTATTGATTGGAGTATCAATATATAACTTAATAGAATTTAAAATTCCCAACCAATCTGTATTATCACCTAACAATTTTCTTTTATTATTGTTATTAATATTATCATGTACAACAATAATTGTATTAACAGCGCCTATCAATTTTGCAGAATCTGTCATTTCATCAAGGTAGGATACAATACTGGTTTTATGAGGTATAGTTACTGAACCTCCTCCAAATTCCTCACTCTCAAAAATAATGGGTTTAACATCTTTAACATCTTCTGACTCAAATAATTCATAATGATAAGGAAATCCCAAAGTTTCAAATCCTGTATTATGAATTGTTGGTGAGAGTGAATGGGAAATTGGTGCTCCAAAAAGATAAAATTTTTTTTTAGGTAACAAGCCAATCAAATTAAGTCCTTGATGAATCTGTTTGATTGATAATTGACCTGGAGCAGCTTTTGATGGCAATAAATCATGTGTTACAGGTGTAAATGTTTGATTCAAGATTCTCGAAAGTTGTCCCTCTGATCCCATATTAATTGCTATAATGTGTTTTTTTTTTGTTGTTGATGATGTTGACGAAACAGACTCTAAAAATGATTGTAAATCAAAGTTATCTTTTATAGATCTTGCTTTACCAATCAATTTAATAATATCACCATGCTCATTAGCTTTTCTATAATATCCACAAATTTCTTCTCCATCCCATTTCATATTTCCAGTTGTGTCATGCCATGATGCTATAATCTTTGTGTTGCCTTTTCTTTTTAACAATTTTGTAATTAGATTATGTGATAATCCAATTTCCAAATCCAAATACTCACATCCCCATCTCAAACCACTCTCCAAAATATCATAAATTTTTGATTCATCACCTGAAAAAAACTTTCCTCCTTGTCTTTGTGTTCTTAATGTAAAAATAATTGGTAATTTCGAATAACCTTTTAATAAAGCTAACTGTTTTGAAATATAATCAATTGAAAATTTATTGCTATTACTACTATCATTATTGTTGTTGGAATTTTCATCAAGTAAATCCACTCGTAATTCTATTGCATCAACTCCATGAATTATTGTGGATATATCTTGTAATTTTGGTTGAAGATCTGGATATGTCAATGATACAAAAAAAGTTCTTTTGGTCTTTTCCAAATCAACTTGATTTGTATCTTGTCCAGTAATAAATTTTAAAAATCTTGTAAAATCTACTTTAGCTTTAACTAATTCAGATCGATCAAGTTCCTTGTCAGCAGCACAATTATCACCATTGTATTTAAGTGAATGAAATTCATAGTTTGAACATTCTTTATACCAATTTTTTCTTCTTTTCCAAACTTCAATAATTTCCTCCCCATATTGTGGTCTAGCCTCATCTTTATTTAAATATTTTATAACTTCTTGGATATCTCTAAAAATATGAACCACTATTCCTTTATTATTATTATCATTGTTAGTATATTTTTTTAAAAGATCTCTCGAAGAAGCATTCTCAACTATACCACCACCACATGATATGACATATCCAGTAGCATAATCTTTTAATAATGCCTTGAATATTTCTTGTTCTTTATCACGAAAAACATCCCATCCTTCCTTTTCAACCAATTCAGAAATTGTTAAACCCAATTTTGATTCAAAATATTGATCAACATCTAAAAATTTATAATTTAGCATTTTTGCTGCAAATTGACCCATCGTTGTTTTACCTACCCCTCTCATTCCAATAAATATAATAGATTTATTTTTTTCATTAATGGTGGTAGTAGCAGTAGTAGTTTTATTATCATCTTGTTTTGGTCCAAGATCAACACCAACAAGTTTTACTCCTAATTTAGATTCTAAATCATCCCACCAATTAGGCCAAGTTTTTTCAACACATTTCTTTTCACGAATAAGTGTTCCATTAGGTACAACACATCCTAAAACACTGAAACTCATTGCCACACGATGGTCATCATAACATTTGACACCTTCAACAGGACCTTTAAGTGATTCTATTTTGGCACCATGAATTTGTATACCATCAGGCAACTCAGATGCATCAACACCAAATTTTCTCAACTCATGAACCATTGCAGCAATCCTATCACATTCCTTAACTCTTTGATTAGCAATTCCAATGATTCTTGTAATATTTTTATTTTCATGATTATTATTTGAATTACAAGCAACTGCAGCTACAATAGATGCAGTAAGAAATGCGTCAGTCATTGTTTCCATATCAATAGTGGGTAATGGTTTAAGTGATCCAATAGGAGGTCCTTGTACTGTAGTGCTTGTTTCAGTCTGTGTGACTTCACAACCCATTTGTCCAAGTACCTTAACAGCAAATGCTGCATCACCTTGGAGAGATGATGATCCAATATTTGGTAGATTACATTTGGTACCAGTGACTGCAGCTATAGCTAAAGGATAAGTGGCAGAACTTGCATCAGACTCAATGATATATTCAGCTGGATTTTTATAACTAGCTTTTGGAACCTTGTACATGTCACAATCTAGACGTTCAACCTTGACTCCAAATGATTCCATCATTGAAATAGTCATATCTATATAAGGTTGTGAAATCACTTGGCCACCAGTAAGTCTCAATGTCACTGGTTCACTGGCATATGGTGCACTCATAAGAATAGATGAAACATATTGAGATGAGATTGATGCTGCCAAATCTATACCACCACCACACAATTTTTTTTTCAAAGGCATGATTGCTATTGGAAGACATCCTTCACTCTCAAGATAATCAATCTGTGAACCATTTTTTCTAAGAGCATCAACAAGAGGTCCAATAGGTCTTTGTTTCATTCTTGAGTTACCAGTTAGAATTGTTTTTTGTTTCTTTTCAGTTACAGACTGATCTGATGCCAATGTACACACAGTTGTCAAAAATCTAGATGCTGTGCCAGCATTTCCAAGATAAATTTCATCATCAGGAACAGTAAGTTTACCACCACCACCTATAACAACCAAGGTATTGCCATCATCCTCCCATTCAAATTTTGCACCACCTAAAGCTCGAAGTCCACTCAACATTACTTGAGTATCATCTGAGTATAGGATACCTCTAAGCCTACAAGTACCTTCACCAAGTGCAGCTAAGATTAAAGCACGATTAGAAATAGATTTTGAACCTGGTGTTGTTATGTGGATTGATGTTGGTGAATTTGCGCAATTATTAGTTGAAAACTTAGGAAAAACTTTGATGGCAGATGAAAGAATTTTGTGAATAATTGAATCTGAAACTACTGTGGCCTTCTTTTCTAAAGTTTTGCCAATAGCAGTAAGAATAACCAAACGTTTCTTATCACCTTGATTTTTTTTATCAATTTTCATAATTTCCAATAATCTATCCACATCACAATACTTATTTCCAACTAGATGTTTAACTTTTTTGTCATCTAAAGAAACTGGTAATCCATAATTTTGTAAACATATTGATAATCTACCAACAGCTACTTGATTAAGATATCCAAGGTTTCTGGAAATCTCAGCCTCTTTAATCATACCGATTGAAACACATTCACCATGTAATAAATCAGGAGCTAAAATTGTTTCAATTGCATGCCCTATTGTATGTCCAAAATTCAATAAACCACGAAGTCCGCTTTCCCTTTCATCATGAGTAACTACATGAGCCTTTACCTTTATTGAAGCTAAAATTACTGATAAAAGAAGTGATTGAGAAGGAGTTCTTGTTTCAAGTGTACTTCCTATTATAAACATAAATAAGTTAATGATAATTTTTTAATCAAACAAAAAAAACAACAAATAATTGTGGGTTACTAACCTTGAAATGGAACATCTTTGGGTGGATTGAGTACAGCTTCATGAATACCTTTAACACCATTTTCCAATTTTTCAAATTCATTATTGTTCCAAATAGCTGCGTGTTTAATAACTTCAGCCATCCCATTTATGAATTCTCTTTCAGGCAAAGTAGTCAAGAAATTCAAATCAACAAAAATCTTTTTAGGTTGCCAGAAAGCACCAATAAGATTTTTACCATGAGGAGTATCTATGGCAGTTTTGCCACCAATTGAGGAATCTACCATTGCCAATAAAGTTGTAGGTACTTGAACAAATGGAACGCCACGCATAAAAGTTGCAGCAACATACCCAACCAAATCACCAACCACACCACCACCTAAAGCAATAATACATGCGTCACGTGTACATGCTTTTGATAATAAATAATCTTCAATTTCGCCTTTTGTCTTTCGTGATTTTGATT